CTCTGGCCGAGGTTTCCTGAGATTTGTAACAACATCATCATCAATATGAATGTTTCCGAAGCTACATAACCCATAACTGTTGAATCGAGTCTCAGCGGTAGGCACATCCGACATGGCCGGCAGAACTGTGCAATTCGCACTAGTCTCGGGCCCCAAAACTCTCGCACGCAGCAGTGCACAGCTGGCATACGACGGGCACCAACAACGGCAACATCTAATCAAGTACATCTGCAGCCAAACACACACACACACACAGTCATGCATATGCACGGCGGAGGGTGCACCGTCAGCTGACCTGGAACTCGAACCCGCTCGCTGTGAAGCCAGCATGCGTTCTCTGCCCATTGCCAAAGCACGCTTCATTTCTTAATTATAGCTAGGATACACACAGCTGCCTCACGAGCAGGTGAGGGCATGAAACGCTTCAGGTTTAAATTTAGTGAGGGCTTAGCATCGGTTGCCTGCTTTGGCAGCTTACAAGACGCACACACAGCTGGGACACACAGCCGCCTCATGAGCAGGTGGGGATTGCAACACCTATTTCAGGTTTATGGGATAACATAGTATCATCGGCCTGCTATATCTACAACACACATCAGGCTTAGGGTTCAGTTTCGGTACCTGTACACTCAGACGGCAACGGTGCACTGCATGGTCCTGACAAGCAGAGAGCTCGGGTTTGACAGGTCAAGGAAGTTATTAGGGATGGAGTGCTTTAATGGTCCACCGGGGCGACTCTCTACAATGCGAACTGCGAACCAGAATGAAATTCATAGCAGCTAGCGATCTACAAAATTAAAGACAAGTTGCTAAGGAATTCCCAGTTTACATGCCCAAGCTGGCCCAAACTCGGCCACCGCCACACGGAACTCGAAGCACAGTCTGCCCAAAGCAGACTTGGATTCCGAAATGTGAATAGGGATAAACTTGTATATGTATAATAGAATCACGTATACATATATATATATATATAGATATATATAGATATATACATATCTTGGGTGGCAATTCGGTAGCGTGAAATGAATATTTCCATTTGCCGCTACCAAATTAAGCGGGTTCGGGATAATTTTTCAACCCACGTGCACACGAAGTGCTGTGAAATTGTGCACTTGGTCAGCTATTCGGCGACTTGGAGTATTTTCCGCCGTCCATGTCATTGGACTGGGATGGTTTCCTCCTGATCCATGTCGTATTGGTATGGGGAACTTGCTCCACTTGTACAGATCAGCCTTGACTTCATATCCGCCTATTTAATTTTATATACTTTACATCGTCCTCGTTCCTTGGCATCCGATGGTTCCCAAGGCCTCATTTTTTTAGGACTCGGTATACAACCCCTCCAAAGACCGGGACTTTCACCCGAGACCTCATATAACAAGGTCTTGCGATCCCCAGGGAAGGCTGATGCCAGCAAGGTCCTCGAAATTGTAGTTTTTGTTTCGGCCGACCAGGTCACGCTTGCTACGAACATTCTGCGGGGGAGCGGGCTGAGTTTCAAGGCCCTGCTTGTTTTTCTCTCCAAGGATGAGGAGGCTCAGCGCATCCCGGGCACCATTGGGGATCGCCTGGTGTTTAGGACTGCCAAGGTCCAGAAGCTCACGTCTGCAGGTGCCAGTGGCCACGCTCCGCAGCCCACCGGCCTGAGCCAAACGTCCATCAAGATCCGACCCACTGAAAGTGCAGTTGTTTACTTTAAGGTGCCAAAGCAGTTCGCCTCAGCCGACACTTGGAAGGCTTTCGGGGGCAATGCCTCCAAGGCCGCTGTAGACTGGGTCGCGGCCCACAGGATCAAGGTGCTCGACACTTTTGCCTGGGTCCTGGAAAAGCAGCGTAACGACACTCATGAGCAGTACTTCGGCATTGTTCGCATTCCGAAGGCAGACATTGAGGGCATCCTGGCCCACTCTGGCAAGGACGGTGTCTTCGTGGATGCCGCTCGCACCTCAGGGCCCCGGGCGAAGCTCCAATGGATCGAGAAGCTTCCTGGCGAGAAGGTGGACGCCTACTTTGAACGTGCCCTGCGCCAGGCTCCCAGCCTGGGCTTGGTCGTCAATGGGGGGCGATTGGCGTGGCGAAGTGCCATGGCGGACGGAGAAGCAACGGTGCGTATCTGGCACATGGATGGTGTGCCCCACGAGTGGGATGCGGATGCCGTCGGCCAGCTCTTGGCCACACGCTTCACTGAGTACACCATTCTGTCGCATCGGCGCACCCGCCTCGGATCCTGCTTTCGCTTCCGCGGGCAACCTGGAACTGCAGACACTGACCTGGTGCCGTTCGTCGTCGAGCATAAGGAGAAGCCCTTGTCCCTGTGGGCAACGCTGGCACCTTTCCGTGTCGTCTCCAAGAAGCAGAAGCCTCTCGCCTCGAAGGCCGTCCCGGTCGTTGCTCTCGAGAAGCCTGTCGGTGCCACCACCGTCAAACCTCCCACGGGGGAGCTCGCCACGGGCGAGGACGGCAAGGAAGTGCCCCAGCAGAAGCGCGTCAAGCAGGAGGTGCGCACCAAGCCAGGTGACCTCCAGCTCAAGGCATGCCCTCGTGACGGGGCCTGTGTACTGCATGCCATGAGCCTCGGCCTTCAGTGGCTCGGGGACTCTCGGCCCAATCACCCGCGCATGCTCCGTGCGCAAATGGTCGATCACATGCGCCGGCATGTCACCCAGTACGAGAAGGAATGGGACGGCAAGGGGCCGGACGGCGAGCCGGTCAAGGACCGGGACTTCTCCGCACACCTCACTCTCATGGAGAAGGAGGGGGCGTACTGCTCGGATGTCGAGCTGAGGGCCCTGGGCCGTGTGCTGGACATCAAAATCGTCGTGCTGCCGGCGGGCCTCAACTTCTCTCCTTACGCCTTTCATGGCAAAGCTGCCAAGATGCTGGTGTTGTGGTATGAAGATAACCATGTGGATCTTATGCTCCCGCCCGAGGGTCACAAGAAGTATCCAAGTGAGTATGCCCAGATCACAGCCGGACCCGTCTTTGGCCTGCGTGCTGGTGGCCGTGGGCCCCCATCGGTCTTCACTGCCTCCTCTGCTGCCTGTGTTCGGTCCCGGCCTTCCTCTCAGTGGACTTCGGTCGTGGACGACGAAGGGGCAAAATCCCAGGCCCGCCCGGCATCGGTTTGGACCACCTCGATGCAGGCGAGCACCTCGGGGAGTGCCGCGGGGCGGCCCTCGATCGCAGCCCAGCCCTCTTTGCAAGGTAGGCGGCCCAGGCCACAGGTTCCACAGGCAAGGTCTTCAGGCTGCCAGGTGCCGTCGCAGGCAAAGGTGCAGGCATTTTCCCGGCCGTGCTCACTCAGTGCCAGGTCCAAGGTAAAGGCATCGCATGGTTCTCAGACCAAGCCCAGGGACGAGCCACAGGTGAGGTCGTCACAGGCCACGGCCCAGGCAAGGTCCTCAGGCACCAAGCGCAAGGCGGTAGAGCCGTGCACTTCGTCCGTTTTCACCTGCACCTCTACGGGCACTATTGAGGCCCTCGATGAATCCGAGTTTGAGCGAGCTTGTGTGCCCCCGAAGCGCTGCCCTTGGCTGGCCCACGCCACGGCACCGGCTGACCTCACTTTTCGGTGCAACTTGTGCCCTTACAAGCGCAAGGCCACGAGCAACCAGCAGTACTACCACACCCGCCACAACCACTACCAGCGTGCCCATGAGGGGCAGGGCCTGCAGCCGGACATTGGACGACCCAAGCTCACGCGGGTCTGCGGCCCAAGGGCTCGTTTCATTTGGTGTTGCCCTCTGTGCAACAAGGGCATCACGCAAGAGACTCGGAAGGACCTTTCCCGGTTCTCCTACTATGCCCTGCGCAACCAGCACCGTGCACAGGCCCACCCCGAGGTCTCCAAGGCTGAGTGGCAGCGTCTTGCGGCACTCCCGCAAACCGGGCCCAAGGATCGCCAGGCACATGCCAAAGGGTGCCGCCAGCGCAACCTCACCAAGGCCGTGTTCGCTCAAGTCAGGACCCCTCGCTTTGGAGACCAGATGCAGCTTTTTGTGTGGCCTCGAGCCAGGTGTGAGAAACGCAGCACCCGGGTTCAGCATGTCCTCCTTGAGCATGGTTGGAAGTGCCTCCGGTGCGGTGAGTGCACCAGGGACCTGGCCGCCGCCAAGCAGCATAGCGAGGGCCGGTGCAAGTCGCAGAGCAACACCCAGAAGCGGATCCAGAAACTTGATGCCATCGAGGCGTGGGCCCGGCGTGCCGGAGGTGACCCCGACTTCTGCTCTCAGGTGCTCCGTGCTGCCGCAGCTGCCAAGCTTGCCATCTCCACGCGAATCCCCTCCTTGCCGTGTTCATCAAGCTTTTGAGCATCAATGCGAACCGCACGGCCATTTCTAAAGTGGACCTGTGTGCCGATTTCCTTCAGTCGTGTGGGGCTGAGCTCTTGTCTCTTCAGGAGGCTGACATCAACCCTTTGTCGGCCCAGGGTTTCGGTGAGCGCTGGCGTGTCCACGGCTACCGGGCTGTTCTTAGCGACATTGATGCTGCCAAGGGTGTGCATAGGGTGGCCTTGGTCGCCTCCCTCCCCATGCATCGTGTGACCACATCACTTGTGATTTTCACTTTATTTCCAATTTCACAACGATTGTTGTCTCGTTGAGAAACGATCGTGCATGAACACTTCGGGCGGTTTTTGGGAAACTCTTTTGAACCTGATTTTTAACGATTGAGTTTTTCATGAACTTCATTCTTTGATGATCAGTTGCTAACATGTCTCCCGCGCACGCTCCTTCAAGCACATGAGTGCAAATTTTTGTCTCAGTGGGGCCTTGTAAGATCCGCTAGCATAGTGTGAGTTCCGAGCCTGATTGCTGGCACTCCCGCGAAGGAAGTGGTGAGTAGCCCTCACATGTCTGATTGAACATTTCATACGAAATATATTTGATTGATATTCCCAAATAACGACGAATTTGTTCATGCGTTTGTGGACTTGGAAATAAGTGAACCTTAAGCTTCCTCCGCATGTGGCTGTGCGATGTGCTGCCGGTGCTTTTGAGATGCAGGCTGCTGGCGGCAAGTGCATCACTCTTGTGGTGGCTTTTTACGGCTTCCCTGGTCAGCCAGATGCCACAGCCCAGGCCTTAGGTGAGGTTAGGCGTGCAGCTGCGACCTTTGGGGGCCCCTACATCTTGCTCGGCGACTTCAATGTTGACCAGTCTGAGCAGGCTGTGGTGCAGCTGTTGTGCGATGGCGAGCTCCGGTCTCTGGACGAGGCGGACTGGACCCAAGCCGGCCCAACAAATCCCACGCGCACCCGGCGCATCGATTTTGGCTTGGCCCATTGGTCCATCATTGCGTCGGCTGTCATGCAGTTCGAGCGCCCGAACCTCTCGGACCATGGGTGCGTCTTCTACGAAACGCGGTGCCTGAGCCGTGCCGACAGCTTCTCCATGCCTAAGTTTCGTGTGCTCCCTGCCACGGCCACTGATGACATCTTGTCTAACTTTGGTAGGGTCTGGGATGCCGCACACTTTGAGAGTTCTGTTGCAGCTGGGTCTCTTGATGAAGCCTGGGCCTTCTTGTCAGACGTGGCCGAGCGCACGCTGGGTGCCACTTCGCTCTTTGATGCCTCCGGTGCCCGCAGGAGCGACCACTGGCTCCCTTGTGCCCGCCACGAGTCACACCATCGTGTCGGCCCCCAGGGTCATGAGTCCCAGTCCCTTCGTTCTTCTCGCAAGTTGCTTGGGCAATTGCACCAACTGCGGCAACAGCCCCACTGTCAGAAGCTGTGGCGTGCGGTGGGCCGTCGGGCTGGGCTCCTGCGTGCCATTTTTCCCGACTTGCCCGTGATACATGCTGCCAACCTTGAAGGTGCCACCCAGGTGATCTCTCATTTGCATGCCGAGCTTCAGCAGCAGGAGACGGAGGCCAGAGTGCACAGGTGGCGTCGCCGTGTTGAGGAGGACCCTTCTCGTGCCCTCGCTTGGGTCAAGCGCAAAGCTGACCATCAGTTGGCCATGGAGCAATCTCCTCAGGCCCCTGCTGGTGTCCCTTCCTCTGTTCACCCTGCCTCTATTGTCGAGGAGCATGGCAAAGTGTGGCTGCAGCACTGGAAGCCGGAGTCCCCTGTCAACTTCGATGCCGTGCAGCGCATCCTTGACCGTGTCCCGGGCGGGCCGCAATCGGACATCGTGCTCCAGGTCGAGGCTGAGGCTCTGATGCGGGCCACCAAGGCAATGCGGGGGAAGGCGATGGGACCCGACCGATGGTCGGCGGAGCTTCTCCTCCGCCTTCCTGTGCAGTGGTGGGAAGCGGCGGCCACTTTGTGGAATGCGGTGCTCTCCACGCAGTACGTCCCTCGACTCTGGCGCCGGGCACTGATTGCCCTGGTGCCGAAGCGCCTGGATGAGTACCGCCCGATCGCATTGTGCCCGGTCATCTGGCGAGCTGGTGCCCACTGCATCTCTCGCAATTTGCTGCCGTGGATGGACACGTGGCTGGGCCACCACACTTTGGGCGGTGCACCATGTCGAGGCCCGGGCGACGCTCATGCCCGGCTTTTTCATGCGTGGCAGAGCGGCTGCAAAGTCTTTTGCCAGCAGGACCTAACGCGGTTCTTTGACTCACTTGATGTCAAGGCGGTGGGTATGGTGCTTCGGCACCTTGGTGCCCCTGTTGGCCTGGCTGAGCTCTTAGCCTCCTTCTACCAGGATGCCTCGAGGCTTTTTCTGCACGAGGGCCGGTCCAGCAGTGCATGGGGCAGCCCGGCGCGGGGCCTGGCGCAGGGATGCCCTCTCTCGTCTCCAATGGCCGCGGTCGCGGTCGGCCATATCTGGGCCATGTGGGTCCAGTCCTTTGCCAAGGGACGCACCGACTGCCTCATCTTTATAGACGACCGTGTGCTGTGGCCTTCCTGCACTTGTGTGGACCCCCTTGGGGCAATGGATGTGGCATTGAGGGCTTCTGACTCCTTCGACCAAGCCTTCGGTTTCCAGTGCCGTGCCAGCAAGTGTGCTGTGGTGTGTCCACCCGACGTCGGGACTTTCGATCAGTGGGCCAGTGCCAGGAGCTACCCACGCGTGACTACTTTAAAGGTGCTGGGCATCACCCTCGACATGCAGGAGGGTGCCCTGGGGCTCCTTAAGTTTAGCCCGCGTCTGCTCCTGCATCGCCTTCGTTTCCTCAAGCTCCTGGGAGGGGAGGTGCCCCAGCTCCGCCGCGTCGTGCTGCAGCTGGTCCACTCGGCCATGTTTTGGGCCGGTGGTGTCGCTTGCCCGGATCGCGACTGCTTGCGCGACGTCTGGCACTCCACCTGTGCTGTCCTGCAAAAGCACGCCACCTTCGAGTCTCCAAAAGTCTTGCTGTGTGCCTCCTTTGGCTGGATGTTGGACCCTGAATGGGCGGCGGACTGGGCATCCCTGCGGGCTGCCTGGCGGTTCAAGGCTCGGCCCCCGGCATGGCTCGACACGGCTGGGCTTGATGTTGCTTGTGGTGACTGGCGTCGCTTCCTCCCTGGTGCGGCGGCGGTTGTGCAGAGGTTAGGCTGGCAGGTCCACGGCAATGGCGCCACCCTGGCGCGAGTCGACGATTCCGGTGCCCTTCGTCAGTGCCACCTTGGCTGGGAATCCTTTGATGTGGTCAAGCGCTGGCTGGTGGACCGCTACAAGTGGCGGGGTGTGCACGCCTGTGGGCGGATCCGAAATTGCCGCCATCGTGATGATGCGACTCTGGCCCGTGGCCTCAGCTTGGGGGCCCCACTCCGCAGTGCCCGGTTTGCGCTCGAAGGCCACCGACTCGCAGTTGCGGCTGAGCCTACCCGTGAAGTTCGCCTTGCAGCACTGGGCTCGGGCGGCTCCATTTGGTACCACTGCAAACGGCTGGAGATGAGCTCACCCGACACCACGGCGTGTGTTTGTGGCCTCGTGCAACCTAGCCGAGCGCACCTCACCTGGTGTTGCACCTCAACGACGGAATTGCGGCAAGGTCTCGCACCTCCCTCCACCCGTGCTGGTGAACGGCTCTTTGCAGCCGAAATCCCTGAGTACCCTGCAGCTCCTGCAGCTTCGGACTTTGAAAACACCCTTCAGAGCATCGTGGCGCATCTTCGCAACTTCGCTACTGTGGGCGAGCGTCTGCTCGTCGCGACCGATGGCAGTGCTAAGTTTGACATCGGCGGCTGCGCCGTGATCTTCGAGAGCGGTGATGGCACCTTCGTCTTCGGTGATGCATGTGAGGATCAATCGGCTTTTCGATGTGAGCTCCTCACCTTGACGACCCTCTTCGAGGCGATCTCTCGTGCGCAGTTGGCTCCAGGCTGTCAGGTGGGCATTCTGGTGGATTGTAGCTCTGCTCTTCAGGCTGTGGCCCAACCTGGGGCGTGTTCCATGCCTCTTCTGGCCCACAAGGCTGCGAGGCTGCTGCGTGATGTGCGTGCCAGTGGCTTGGACCTGAGGCTTTCATGGACTCCTGCACATGGCCGGCGGCCCACCTGGACTGCTCCCTGGGGTCTGACTGCCGCCCGCTGCAGGCACCTCAATGACCGGGCCGATGCGGCCGCAAACAGCATTCGCGAACAACGAGCTCACGGCTCGTGCAGGGTGAGCTGGCATGCTGAGCTGCATCGTGCCGCGATATGGGAGCGCGGGGCCATCTTGGCTTCGGCTGGTGCTTCCAACGTGCTGGCGCAGCATCTTCGTACAAGGCGGCCGGCCCGTATCATTCAAGATGATCCGTGAAACTCGCCACGACACTGAACACTTGCATCGTTGACGGCTTCTACGGTGGCTCCTTCGGTGAACTACGTGCTGTCCTACTTCCTCTGGCTGCCGTCGCTGGCTGCTGGCTGCGGGGCGTGCTGCGGGGCGTGGGCTGCTGGCTGAGGCGCGCTGCTGTGTCCCTCTGAGTTCCCACGTCGAGTCCATCTGAAGCCGTAGAGGTGTACAGCTGCTCTGCACGTCACTTCGATGCTGCTTAGGCTCTCGCTAGGCAGTTTGTGCTTGCTGTGTAGCCCTGCACCTCTCCTTTTAGCAAACCCGAGCCAAAGGCTCACGTTCTTCTCGGCTCTCCAGAGCCTTAGCTTTCATGCATCGGCTAATTGCGCCTCTGCGACGCTAGTTTGTTTGGTCCTTCATGCCTCAGCTTCAAGCACCTTGGATTGTACAGCTGTCACATGTCCTCTGCTTGTAAGCTCCATGCTCGACCTTTTAGGATCGGTTTCACAACCGACAACCAAAGACGTTACTGGACGCAGCTCGGGACTTCGTTGCGATGCCCGAGTTTTGCCCGCACCGCAGTTAGGCGTGAGAACACGCAGCTTGGGCCCGAGACGGGAACTCCGCGAGTTCCAAGCTGGACAACACCGTAGGTAGGCTCGGTGGCTAAGTCCGTCTCGACTGTGCCATGGCTCCTTCCTCGGGGGGCGCTGTGGGTGCTGAGCGGAAAAGGATGCCCAGAGCTTCCAAAAGACACTATTTAAGAAAACGCACCTTATTTAAGGAATTGTGCGGGAAATAATTGCTTAATTAAGGTCTTTTTCCTTATTTAAGGTGTTTTTCTAGAAAAAGTTGCTTAAATAAGGGGTTTTGGTCCTTAAATAAGGTGTGTTTTCTTAAATAAGGTGTTTTTCCTTAAATAAGGTGTTTTTTTTTTGACACCTTAAATAAGGTATGTTATTTTTTTATTCGTCATGTTATTATATGCTTGTGTGGTGTATGCGTGTGTCTGTGAGTGTGCGTGTGTTTGTCAGTACGTGTCTGTGTGTGTGCTTTGTGGCCGGTTGTTTTTCCGCATCCGTGCAAGTCTGCAGCTCAGGCCAGTGTTGGCAACCTCCTGTTGTTGACACAAAACTTGCTAAGCATTTGCTTGGAAGTGCCTTTCATCGAGTACTTTCCTCCACGACGTTTTGCGTGGAGGGACAACACATGGCCGAAGCCCTCGTCTCGATACGTCCACGTCTCGCTGGGCCTGCGCTTTTGGCGGCCCAGCTCGAGAAGCAGGTGCATCTTGGGCTTTGTCCTAAAATATGTTTGCCCTGGGAATTTACTCAACTCTACAAACAAAGCTGCAAACTTATTGACAGTCTTGTGAAACTTCTCGGCATCCCAATGCCTTTCGGACAAGAACTCATAGCAACTGTGCAGATGCTTCGCAGTCTGCCTCACCGTTCGCTCGAAATCTGAATTGCCCATGTGCCTTTCAGCGCATTCCTTGGCGAATCCGATGAGGTCGCGAGCCTCGCCGGCTTTAGCCCGCAACTTGGGCCACTTCTTGTTTTTGCCTTTCAGCATGAGCGGAGTCAACGTGCTCATGCGGGACTGGGACAGGTTTCGGCGATAATAATTTTGAATATCGCCAAAAAGGTTCTTGCAGCGATCGTGGACACTTCGCTCGGGGAGCTTTGTCTGCACGACCATATGAAAAAGCCCACCCATGTAGTCAGCTGCACATCCTAAATCCATGCAGTGAAGCCAATCAATGCAGCACTTCTGTACTGAAAAGCAAGGACAACTGAAAAGAGGGCTCAAGTTCTTGCCTTCAGAGATCTGCCTGGCCAGGAACTGGTAATGCGACAGGCGCGAGCTCCTGCAAGGGCATTGGCCGAATGGTCTAGAAACCAAGTTTAGACAGTTGGGGGTAGGGAAACTTCTGGGGTAGAAAACCAATTATATGTTAAAAAAAGGAGAGGCCTCCTCAATAGGAGGCCCCTCCTTATCCTAGAAGCGGAAAAATCAATGAGGAGATGCCTCCTCGATAGGAGGCACCTCCTGGAGCAAAGTGTCCTCCAAGAGCTGCTCTCGTCAACATCATGTAGATCTTGCAAAGTCGCTTGACAAAACCAGCAGATTGGGCCGTTGCCAGTCCAGCCAGGTAGTCGCAACACTTCCTGGTATGCCGACCAATCCGCCCGCACTTCCGCCAAGACTGCCCGGCAGCCTAGCGGCTGCGAAGCTCTCCTCTTTCGCCAGCTGTCGTTGCCAAGGAAACGAGACTCGTCGTGACGGAAGGACGGGAAGAAGCCTGTATAACAGCATCTCATCGACCAAGCAATGATAGCCGTGACATCATCCCAGGTAGCTTCGGGCATCTGAAAGAATTTTGGAAACCCTGTCAGTGGAAAGCGAAAGTCGCCAGCATCCGTAAGCCCTGGCAAGCTGAGGGTTGCACACTGCAGTGTCTGGCTACGGTCTGAGCTAAACGGTACACCGTCTAGCCACAGCCCCAACAGCAGGACATCATTGCCGTGCTCTTGAAGTTGCTCTTGCAAGTTGGGAATCCGAGCTTGTTGATTTCTGATTTCCGAAATATCGTTAGACTCCAGGAGAACGTGTAGCACTTCGTGCGGAAGCATGAAGGCCAGGGTGTAGAGGTCCTCCTTGCCAGTCCTTGGATTCTTGCCCCGGACTTGGCACTCATATGGCGGCGGCCACGGTGTTCGGCGAAGATTGCGCCGAAGCAAGTTCCTGGCAGTGTTGCTTCCCTGCTTAGCCTGGGCCAGATCTTTGACCCCCTTGGCGCCTGCGAGCCCAGCATTTTCGCAGAGTCGACTGGCTCTGGCTCCACTGATGTTTCCAGAAAAAAACAAATCCATGCAATCATGTCTAAATCTATCTTCCTCTGCGATATGCTCCAAACTAGATGCCGGCCCTTTGCTCAGCATGTCTGCACAGGAGGCACATCCTTCGTAGGAGTGCCATCCTAGAATTCGAGCCCAGCGAAAGCGAAATGCACGGCAGCAGAGACTTGCAACTCCGAGCGAGCAGTTTTGACCTAGCGACTCAGCGAAACCAAAACATGGCATGCAAGCCAGTTTGCCATTTTCCACAAGCCGCCAAAACTGAAGCTTCCAGCTCTCAAGATCGGATGAGCATCCATCGCAAAAGATGGATTTGTGCAAGCTTAGACACCGAAGCGGCTCTTCAACTTCTTGTTGTAGGCCGTGGCTGCAGCCAGGTGGCTGGTGGCTTCCTCACTCAGCTGGGTGAGCTCCGGCAACTTCGCTTCCATGCATCCCTCGCTCATGTTCATCCACTCGCTGATCTTGAAGCGCAAAGTCTTCAAGAAGCCTCGGAGGGTCTCGATCTTGGGCCCAACTTCGTCCGCCTCCGCTTGGGGACCGTGAGCAACCAGCTTGGCGTGCTGCTCCTCGAGCTCGTCCGCCACCTTCCCCAGCTTGCTCTTGGCGGCCTTGCAAGCACTGTAGGCCTTGTTCCAAGCCTCTTCGTTGGCGGGCACCTCCAGGTCCGGGTTGTCGAACTTCTCGACGAGCCTGCCGAGGTCGCTTCCTTCCACGTTGGCGCAACTGCTCCAGCCCAGCGAGTTCGTGGCAGCTGTGTCCTCCGTTTCGACCTTCTGCTTGTAGTAGTACTTGGCCAGCAAGGGGTTCTTGTGAGGCTTGCAGTCGGACTTGAAACCAAACTCTGCCTCACAGTCGGCGATCAAGTCCTTGAGCGTGTCAGCAGCCACAGCCTCGTCCATGTTGCTCGGGTCCAGGCCGTTCATCTTGAGGATCTGGCTCCTGGAGAAATCATTCGAGTAACATTACAAACCAATCTTACTTGAAATGCCAACTGAAAATAAAAAACTGAGCATAAAAAAAGTCCTGTTGAAGTAGCCCTTCGTGGTGCTCTCCTTGTCCACGCTTTGCGTTTGGTATTCGCTTTGCATCTCGGCGAACCAGCTGAGGTCACGAAGCCCGCTCGTTTGCAATTTCTGCAATATTTCTTTTTTTCCATGGACGCCAGACTGTTGGTACTTCAGCAAGATATCGTTCGCTTGTTCGCGATGCTTCTCCGTCATTTTCTTAGCCTTGATTTGGTACTTGAGGCTTGTGAGCAAGCCTGCCACCTCTGCCTTGGCCATCCCCAAAGTTTCCTTCGGCTTCTGGGGCGACAAGGGCTCCGTCTTGACAGGTTCCCCTGCGGCCGACTTGGTTCGCCTTCTGCGGGGGGAGGTGGTCTCGTGGTTGCTCGGCGAGGCTGCTGCGGCCTTGGCCTTTGCCGTGGCCTTCGGTTGGGTCTTGGCCTTGGCGGTGGTCTTCGCCTTGTTCTTGGCGACCGCCTGAGCGACAGCGCTGCGACTGCGGAGGAGCCCCATCTTGCAGGGGACGGGTGCAGGAGGCGAGGAGGCCAGCACGTCAGGAGCCCAAAGCAGCTTCGTGAAAACACGTTTTTTTTTTGCAAGAATCTAGGAGGACCCTTCGGTTTGGGATGCACATGCAAGGCTGAGGTGGACTTCCTAGGAAAGCACTGCAACATGTGTCCGAAAATCTTCCAAGGACCAAGCTCGACCCTCAACTTGCCAATCGCCAAAAAGGAGGGCCCTCCTTTATATAGGAGAGCCCTCCTGGGAACCTCTTCCTCGTCAGTACCACACGGCACCGCAGACGGTCGCATTTTTTTCCAAGCGCCACGGAAGAGCACGGTCGCCAAGCAACCTGGGATGGGATTTGTTGAGGTTGTTGGTTTAGGGGTTGCTTCTAGCTTTTTCCCAAGCCCGACCCCCAGCCAACCACTAACAGCCAGAAACACCAGCCTATCCAACCCACCCCCCCACCCCCCCCAACAACACAAAACAAAACTTCTAGCCCACCAAAACTTCCCCCCCCCCCCGACACACCCCGAACAGTTCAGCACGAAAGCCCCGACACGAAGAAACTGCACCCGGCAACACAAGGAAACACAAGCCCGACAACAGACCAAACCGAAACCTTTGCAGCCAAGGAGCTCAGATCATAGCC